GAGTTGAGTATAATCCGAAAATCACAACACAACCCACCGTGAAGGTAATCTGGACAAGTCATTAGAAGGACTGTACTGAATATTCGAAAAAAGAAAGGAAGAGGTGTTGTTAACCTCTAATCGGACAAGAGGGGGCAAATATCACGAAATATTACTCAGACTCGGAATAAACATCCTCAGAAAGTTAGAGTTCGTGGTAGTTGTGTAGGGTATGGTCGGCCCCGTCCGACTATACTGCTCCGCTCACTGGTTTTCTATTATTTTCTATTAATGTTTGTTAACACAACTATGTTGTCAGGGTATTATAGCTTTGTGCAGCCCCAAAAGTTTGTAACGCCGCGAAATATTGGTCCTAGACCCACCTTTAAGTATTCCGATAATATCTCGACTAGCTGAGTCGATCCAGACATGTGTGTCCGTCCGTCCGTCTGTCCATTATAATTTGTAAACACGATACAGGCCACAGTTATGGACCAATCTTCACAAAATTTTACATGTAGAATGGGTTCTGGCCAATGAAGACCCCTATTGTTTTTGGTAAAGATCGGTTAATATTTAGGGTATGAAATGGACCAAAAACTTTATTTTTGTCTGATTTTCTGGTCGCTCCAGAGGCCGCAATTATGACCCAACCATCGCGAATGGAGAAGGGGATTGGGCCAAAGAATATGCATGCCTGTTTTGATAAAGATCGGTCATTATTTAGCGGGTCAAATGGATCCTGACTTTTGTGTGAAAAATTACAAAATTTGTATTCTATGGCGTATATATTTACTCCTGAAGGACATAGAACCGAGAAGTTGATAGCATATCTAAGAGGAGTGGTTGACCTTTAAATTGATACCAATTATATTGTCGTATGTACTCGGATTTGGGAGTTATACGTAAATATTTAGAGGTGCTTTAGTCACTATTTAGTAATAGTGACTAAACGGTGATCACAATTTTCGTTTACTGGCGCATAAATATTATAAAAATATAAAAATAACAATCAATATTTTGCATATCATTTGTCCATCACCAACTAATTAAGATAGCAAACAAACAAACAAAATTGGAAAACACAAACCATGAAAACAACTACAATGGATCAGAATTATTAGTATTAGAACAACAATATTCGCATAAAATATTTTATAAACGTTTATATATAAACTGTCAACTAATAATAAATAAATAAAAAAGAAGTATTAAATAATACAAAAACAAATGGAATATAACCTAATACAGGCAGATAACACAAACAAAACTCGGATGTTTCATATTAGGCTATAGCATATTTTCCAATAAAATTTTTCAATTTATCGTATAAAAGACTTGCTTGGCGGTCAGTGAATCAAACAGAAGCGAACATTCTTTCAATACAGTAGTTTTTTTTTCTCTTGTGTAGAATTCAATATGCGTGCTTTTATTGTCTTGTGTTTGGTGGCTGTTGCCTGTGCCGATAAATTGGGTTACAACTATCAACCAGTTGGTCACTCTTCATCTGGATTATCTTTCACTCCTGGTGCAGGTGTTGGTTCTGCCAGCTATGTTGCTCCCAGCTATACTGGTGGTGTTAGTTCTTATGGAGGTCAAGAAGGTTCCATTGCTCCCAGCTACAATGGTGGTGTTAGTTCTTATGAAGGTCAAGGTTCCAGCAGCACTCCATCATTCGTCCCACAAGCTGAACTTGAAAAGGAATTCTACACTTTCTCTGCCAACGATGCTGATTTCAATGAACCCGCCAGCTCTGAACAATTGGCTAACTCCTTGAAGAAGGGTCTCCGTGTCGTTTTCATCAAGGGCCCCGAAAACAATGGTTTGGAAGATGCCGCCTTGGCTTTGGCCAAACAAGCTGCCCAACAACAAACCGCCATCTATGTGCTCAACAAACAAGCTGACCTCAACGATTTGGCCAACAAATTGAACAACATCAACACCGGCAACAACAACAAACCCGAAGTTCATTTCGTCAAATACCGTACCCCTGAAGATGCTGCCAACGCTCAACGTGCTATCCAAGGTCAATACGATTCTTTGGGTGGTCGCTCTCAAAACATCAATGGTGGTGTTGCTCCCGTTATTAACTTTGCTTCTCAAGCTCCAGTTGCTCCTGTCCCAGCTCCATCTACTCCTGGTGCTAGCTACTTGCCTGCTTCCGTTTTGCGTCGCTTCCGTTTGTAAGATGTTCCGAGTGGAATGTTGTTGAAACGCATATTGTTGTTATATTATAATCTAGTCAAAAATAAAATTGTTAACGTTATTCCGATAAAAAGAAACAAAACATTTTTTTTTCATAAAAATTTAGATAGGAAAGGACTAATGTGAAAAATAATCGTGCTTCCAGAAGAGCCAGAACCGACAACAACTCCAATTTGGTCAAATTTTAAGATTTTGCTCCATTTGTTCTTCGGAAGCAATGGTGATGATTTGTTGCCAATGATTGCTGATGATTTGTTGCCATTTAAAAGGTAACATCAAAATGCCTCTCTCATAGAAGTCCTGTTCTCTAATTGCAATAAACTCTAGTATTGGATTTTCATAATCCTCCCTAGATACCACCTTTTTATCATTAAAGAAATTTTGCAATGCAAGAAAAAGATGATAATCGCTTGGTGCCAAGCTTCCTAACCAAGCTGGTGGAACACGACACTTCTCCTGTTTGCCAATTCTGGCCGTTTCTGGTCAATTGTAAATGGTTTAAAACTGTTTTATGGTCGATTTTTAGCTCCTGGGCGATGTTACTACTTCTAAAATGCCAGCCAACTTCGATAATTTCTCCGATTTTATCGATATTTTCTTCGACCGGCCTACCTGTAACTCACAACTAAATGCACCAAACTAAGAACAGCAAAATATTTTTTACTGCGAAATGTCACCCTTCCAACGAGCATAAATTGTTTGATCGATAATTTACGAGAAATCTATGAGTACAGCCATCTGGCGAAAAAATAATGAATTTATTTTTCCCCAACCTAATATGTTCTCTGTATCTCTGTTTTAGCAGGACACTTCAACATACCGAAAATTTATTTACGATATGCCATATTATGGCCACTTCGATGAAGAAATTCGGATAAACTTAATAATACCGACAATAGGAAGTGCAGTGAAAACCTTTAAAATATCGAAAATGAGGTGGATACGTTATAAGGTAACACGATCTTTGTAATTTGACCCCCCATGATAATCTGATAAATCAAATTGCAGCTAATACGGTTGCAAATTGTGCCCAAACATCCCAATCTACCAAAATTCGGGATGTAGCGTTATTGGAGACTACCCCAAACAGTGTACTAATATTAATCATAATACCCTTCACCACACTGTGGTACAGGGTATTATGTCTTTGTGCATATGTTTGTAACAGTTAAAAGGAAACGAGATAGACACATGGTTCCTTTTGAGAATATGCACAGAATCACTTTCTAAGTAGATTCATGAATGTCCGTCGGTCCGCCCATCTGTCCGTCCGACTGTCTGTCTATGTTAAATTGTAAACAAAGTACAGGTCGCATTTATGATTCGATTTGGATAAAATTTGGCAAAGCCTATTTATTTGGCCCAAGGACGAATCCTATTGAAATTGAGAAAAATCGGTTCAGACTTAGATATAGCTCCCATATATAATTGTGTCCGATTTTATGTAAATGGTGCACCAAAGTCCCTAAATATCTTTCGGATGAATTGAGCCTGGAATGATGTGTGTAAGTTTCGTGAAAATCGGTTCAGATTTAGATATAGCTCCCATATATATTTTCGTCCGATTTAAGGTGAATGGTGCACCAAAGTCCCTAAATTTCTTTCGATTTGCACGAAATTTGACAATTCGTATTGGATAAAGCCTAGGATGATGGGTGGCGAGTTTCGGGAAATTCGGTTCGGATTTAGATATAGCTCCCATATATATTTTCATCCGATTTAAGGTAAATGTTGCACCAAAGTCCCTAATATTTTTGGATTTGCACGGAATTTGGCACAGCGGACTGAATTAGGCCCAGAATGACGTGTGAAAATCGGTTCAGATTTAGATATAGCTCCCATATATATTTTCGTCCGCAAAAACTCCTAATGTTTGTTCGATAACAACAAATTTTGCACAACGTATCAAGTTGAGACTTGAGATGCAGCCAAAACTCCCATATGTATTTCGAACGGGTGTCTGATTGAAATTAAATTTTTAACAGAGCGGCGTATCGAATAGCTTGTATCAATTTTGCTAGACAAATTTATGGAAAACGATTTATAGCAAAATTGATACAAGCTATTTGGTACGCCGCACTGTTAAAAATGTAATTCGAATCAGACACCCGTTCGAAATACATATGGGAGTTTTGGCAGGCTACTCTAAATCTCCCGAATGAAATTACATTTATCATAGGTTGCAGAAAGACATGAGTATGTTCCTCCATGTACCAAGTGAAGGGGATCATGTAGTCGGCCTAGTCCGACTTTACTACTTTCATAAAAATATTAAATAGTGGGCGGTACCATTATATAGGGACTACGCTGAAACATAAGCCAATATTGAAAATTTTGATAGGGGGATTTTTTATCCTTTTAGAACCCAAAATATGATACTACAGCCAATTAGATTTGAAAATGTACGTAAAAGCATTAAAATACCGAATATGGGGAAGTACCAGCCCAACTGAACATAACGATGTTTTTACTTGTTTTAGAATTTAAGTACAAATAACAAATATTAAACTCGAACCTAAAATTGTAAAAACTAGTTTTAATGCCAAATACTTAAAACGGGCCGTCAAGAAACCTTTTTGGAGGTTTGTTCTACTCACAACCCCACATGGAATTTCCCACTCTTATTTTGGCTATGGTATTGTGTACATTTTCCTCTTTACAACATCATACTAGTTTTCTTAGGATAACAAAAGAATTATGTTTTTTTTTTTTTTTTTTTTTTTTTGTAAAAAATTAATAACAATTTTATTATTCTAGATCTATTCGACAACAATGGCAACAGCCAATTAAATTAACATATCTTTGGCCCACACATCTTACAAACGGAAGCGACGCAAAACGGAAGCAGGCAAGTAGCTAGCACCAGGAGTAGATGGAGCTGGGACTGGAGCAACTGGAGCTTGAGAAGCAAAGTTGATGACTGGAGCAACACCGCCATTGATGTTTTGAGAGCGACCGCCCAAAGAATCATATTGACCTTGGATAGCACGTTGAGCGTTGGCAGCATCTTCAGGGGTACGGTATTTGACGAAATGAACTTCGGGCTTGTTGTTGTTGCCGGTGTTGATGTTGTTCAATTTGTTAGCCAAATCGTTGAGGTCAGCTTGCTTGTTGAGCACATAGATGGCAGTTTGTTGTTCGGCAGCTTGTTTGGCCAAAGCCAAGGCGGCATCTTCCAAGCCATTGTTTTCGGGGCCCTTGATGAAAACAACACGGAGACCCTTTTTCAAAGAGTTGGCATATTGATTGGAGCTGGCGGGTTCATTGAAGTCTTCATCATTTGCAGAGAAAGTGTAGAATTCCTTTTCAAGTTCAGCTTGTGGGGCGAATGAGCCAGGGCTGCTGGAACCTTGAGCTTCATAGGAACCAACACCGCCATTATAGGTGGGAGCGACGGAACCTTGGGCATCATAAGAGGTTACACCGGAATCGTACGATGGAGCAACATAGCTGGCAGATCCAATACCGACACCTGTACCAGGTGTGAAAGATAATCCGGAGGAAGAGTGGCCAACTGGTTGATAGTTGTAACCCAATTTATCGGCACAGGCTACTGCCACCAAGCACAAGACAATAAAAGCACGCATTTTGAATTCTACACAGAGATCTAGATGATCTTAAAATGAAAGAATGTTCGTTTCTGTTTGATTTCCTGAGGTTAAAGCATGCCTTTTATATGATGATAAAAATACTTGACGATGGCAAGAACATTGTTCAGAATTCTGCAGTATTTTTGTTTTTGGGCTTATTATTCATATAGGCGGAATAGAATAATATTTATGAATTTTTAGTTCATAATTTAGAATTTGTTGTTAGTGATCGGCATGTTATTTTATTTGAAACAAAAAATACGTATTTTAATATTTTATGCATTTTATTTGCGAAACCGCAAACACTTCGCTATGTTGTCTTGTGTTTTATACAAAATTCTATTTGCTGTCTTAATTAAAATCCAGTAAGTTTGAGCATAAATGATATGCAAAATTAGATTGTTATTTATAAATGTATGTGTTGTGTGTGTGTTTGTGAGTGTATTTGTATGTGTGTTTTGTTCTTGTTTTATACACAATAGGAGGCTTTGCATATATAATGCAGTTATTTCAACATTGAAATATTCTTCTTATTAATATTGAGATTATTTGCGTTGAGAAACTTGTCAGCCAGTTATCAATAAGAATTCAAATTTCTATTGGAATGAGGAAGTCAAACTGAAAAAAAAAAACAAATGGTTGGGGGTGTACTGAAATGCATAAAATTGATTTTTTTATTATCTGGTTTTGAAAATTCCCATACATATCAGTATGGATTTAAAGATAATAAAATTATGATTTGCTCATAAATATGTAGTTAAGAATCTAAACCGGATAATTTGAAAGATAAAAATAACATAAAACATAAAATTAAAAATGGAAACAATAATAAAATTTAACATATCTACAGAGCGTCACAAGCATTTTGACGTTGAATGGAAAATCAAATAAAAAAGTAATTATGATACACCTTTTCCATAAAACAATGTAATATTTCGGCATAAGGACCAAAATATATTGAAAATGTTCCGCGAGTATTATCGATTGAAGAACAGTCAAATTACGTAAGGATACCCCGCATTCATTCACGGTTTCAAAAAATAGATTTTGTACGCTTCACCACACTGTGGAACAGGGTATTATGTCTTTGTGCATATGTTTGTAGGCAAACGAAAACGATTTAGACCCATGGTTACTCGTGAGAACTTCCATAGAATCACTTTCTGTACCGATTTATGCATAGTCGACGGTCTGTCCATGTTAATTGGTACGCAAAGCACTGGTCGCATTTATGATTCCAAAGAAATGAAATTTGGCACAGCCCATTTATTTGGCCCAAGGAAATCGGTTCAGATTTAGACATAGTTCTAATATATAGGTTTGTCCGATTTAATAGTTCACCCAAGATACAATGTTAGACTGATTGACTCGAAGTTTCAGTTCAGATTTAGCTATAGCTTCCGTCTATTTTGTCCGATTTTAGATAAACTTCACAAAACTCACAATATATGTTCGCTTCATACGAAGTTTCTCATAGCCTGCTGACTTATACCTAGAATGATATGTGGGGAGTTTCGGTGAAACCTGTTCATATTAAGATGTAGCACCCATACATATTTTCATCCGATTTTATATTAATGATGCACGAAAATCCCTATATTATTTCCGATTAACACGAAATTGTTTATGGCGTCTTTAATTGAGACTATGCGTGCTATGTTTTGTTTAAATGTTGCCCGATGTAGAAAAATATTGAGTCTAGAATGATAAAGTTTCGTATAGTGAGTTTCACATATATATTCGTCCGATTTCATCTAAATGCCAATTTTCATCCATCGGTATACATCTTAATGTACACTATAATAAGAAACTTGCGATCATTCCTTGTGTATTACCAAAGTTGTGAAAGGCATCAAATAGTCTTGATGCAATATGAACATTGAACTTCTCTAGAATTTCTCATTAACATTTCTAGTGAAAATCGCAACAACTCTTAAAGATATAGCCGATTTGCGTCAGCATCAAGTAACGGCAAAGGTACTTCTCAAGGGTACTATAGTCGGACAGATAACCGAAGCTATGGCTGCATCTGCACAAATTTTATACGTTGTGCAAAATTTCGGACAAACATTAGGAGTTTGGTGCATCATTTATGTAAAATCGGACGAATATATATGTATATGTGGGAGCTATATCTAAATATAAAACGATTTTCGGCATAAGGACCAAAATATATTGAAAATGTTCTGCGAGTATTATCGATTGAAGAACAGTCAAATTACGTAAGGATACCCCGCATTCATTCACGGTTTCAAAAAATAGATTTTGTACCCTTCACCACACTGTGGAACAGGGTATTATGTCTTTGTGCATATGTTTGTAGGCAAACGAAAACGATTTAGACCCATGGTTACTCGTGAGAACTTCCATAGAATCACTTTCTGTACCGATGAAATTTGGCACAGCCCATTTATTTGGCCCAAGGAAATCGGTTCAGATTTAGACATAGTTCTAATATATAGGTTTGTCCGATTTAATAGTTCACCCAAGACACAATGTTAGACTGATTGACTCGAAGTTTCAGTTCGGATTTAGCTATAGCTTCCGTCTATTTTGTCCGATTTTAGATAAACTTCACAAAACTCACAATATATGTTCGCTTCATACGAAGTTTCTCATAGCCTGCTGACTTATACCTAGAATGATATGTGGGGAGTTTCGGTGAAACCTGTTCATATTAAGATGTAGCACCCATACATATTTTCATCCGATTTTATATTAATGATGCACGAAAATCCCTATATTATTTCCGATTAACACGAAATTGTTTATGGCGTCTTTAATTGAGACTATGCGTGCTATGTTTTGTTTAAATGTTGCCCGATGTAGAAAAATATTGAGTCTAGAATGATAAAGTTTCGTATAGTGAGTTTCGCATATATATTCGTCCGATTTCATCTAAATGCCAATTTTCATCCATCGGTATATATCTTAATGTACACTATAATAAGAATCTTGCGATCATTCCTTGTGTATTACCAAAGTTGTGAAAGGCATCAAATAGTCTTGATGCTATATGAACATTGAATTTCTCTAGAATTTCTCATTAACATTTCTAGTGAAAATCGCAACAACTCTTAAAGATATAGCCGATTTGCGTCAGCATCAAGTAACGGCAAAGGTACTTCTCAAGGGTACTATAGTCGGACAGATAACCGAAGCTATGGCTGCATCTGCACCAATTTTATACGTTGTGCAAAATTTCGGACAAACATTAGGAGTTTGGTGCATCATTTATGTAAAATCGGACGAATATATATGTATATGTGGGAGCTATATCTAAATATAAAACGATTTTCACACATCGTTCTAGACTTATTTCAGTACGCTATGTGCAAATCGAAGCAGATATAAGGACTTTGGAGCGCTATTTACCGAAAATCGGACGAAAATATATATGGCAGATATATCTAGTTCTGAACCCTTAAACGGGGCGACCCCAAGCGCGTCGGTCTTGTGCGCAAGTCCACCAGTTTGGAAGACCACGTTCCAAGATGTTGTTTTCTACTTGGTCTTTCCATCTAATTCGTGGCCTTCCCCTTCTACGGAAACCATCCGTAGGCGCATTTTTATATGCCGTTTGAGCTGGGGCATCTTCATTCATCCGCACAACATGGCCTAGCCACCGTAGTCGCTGCAGCTCAATACGACTGACTATGTCGATGTCTGCGTATAAATTGTAGAGCTCGTGGTTCATTCGACGCCGATATTCACCGTCGACGCAGATCGGCCCGTAGATCTTTCGGAGAATTTTTCTCTCAAACACCCCAAGCGCTGCCTCATCTGCTTGCGCAAGTACCCATGCTTCTGATCCATATAATAGCACGGGTAGTATCAGCGTCTTGTAAAGTGTGAGTTTGGTCTGGTGAGAGGTGGCCTTGTTTCTAAACTGCTTACTTAGACCATAGTAGCATCTGTTGGCCATCACAATCCTTCTCCGAATTTCAAAACTGATATCATTCGTTTTATTTATGGCGGTACCAAGGTATATAAAGTCTTTAACTACCTCGAAGCTGTAGTTCTCAAGTTCCACAGTTGGTCCGAGTCTACTGGACGTCTTGCGCGTTGATACCATCAGCTTGGTCATCTCGCCGTTTACTGCCAGACCCACTTTCGCAGACTCCTTTTCAATTTGTTCAAAGGTGGCTATTACCGCTCGCAATGTTCGACCCATTATATCGATGTCATCGGCGTAGGCGAGTAACTGATGTTGTTTGGTGTACAGAGTGCCATTTCTGTTCACCTTTGCGTCTCGTATGACATTTTCCAGTAGGGTGTTAAAAAGATCACACTTTCCTACTTTAACGGCTGACCTTGTGCCACTTAAAGTTATCCTGCATAGCCGTATTAATTTTGCAGGAATGCCGAACGCAGACATGGCTTTAAACACCTCTGAACGGATAGGGCTGTCGAATGCGGCTTTATAGTCGACAAATAGGTGGTATGTGTCGATGTGTTTTTCGTGGGTCTTTTCCAGGATTTGGCGCAGAGTGAAAATCTGGTCAATGGTCGATTTGCCAGGTCTGAAGCCGCATTGATATGGTCCGATGATGTCATTGACCATTGGCTTCAATCGTTCACACAGCACACTGGATAGCACTTTATATGCGATGGGAAGGAGACTTATTCCTCTATAGTTGGCACATATCGTCTTGTCTCCTTTTTTGTGCACGGGACACAGGATGCTGAGGTTCCAATCATTGGGCATGCATTCATCTAGCCAAATTGTGTTAATCAGCTGGTGCATGCTCCTGACCAGCATCTGGCCACCAGTCTTGAATAATTCGGCTGGTAACCCATCGGCTCCTGCTGCTTTGTTGTTCTTGAGCCGATTAATTGCTTTTATGACCTCATCTTGGCTAGGTGGTATACACTCTATACCATCATCTCCTATTGGTTCTGGGGTATCTTCTTCATCGCCACTATTTGATACTAGTAGCTTTTCGAAATGCTCCTTCCAGATCCTCAACACGCTGTCTGTATCTGTCACCAGGTTT